TTTTGTTATTACCAGAGCCTGTCTTGCAGCTTTGAGGTTCTTCTGTCTCACTTCAAACTGTGCATACAGCAACCACATCTTRGCAAATGTAAACTTAAAACAAGAAAAATAATAATTGGAAAGAATAAATGAACAGAGTATAATCATAATATTACTTAATTGAACAGTTTTCCAAATTAATAGTTAAAAAACAAATCAAGTCTAGTTGTAGTGAAAACTCGAACTTGAAGACTGGAAGTAAAAAACCTGTTTGCCTTAGGTTGAACAACAAGTTGAAAAATTATTCTTCAGCAAAAATACCTTTTTGTGTGGGATGATRTCCAAGCATGCTTGATAGACCTGCCTCGTTCTTTCCATATCCTAGTGTTCAAAGCATGCATTAATTAAACATATAATTAATTAAACATATAGACTTGCAATGGAACATGTTATGGAAGCAAAACAACTTAAAATGATGCCATGTATCCTGCACTAACCTGCGCAATTAGTTCTTCATAAAGACAGTAATTAATCCATAAATAAATATACCGACGCCATAAACGCTTTTCCTGCAAGAGAGAAGAGCATAAGCACATGCAGAGTCAAGAAATCCATTCACATCAAATTTCACTAATAATATGGATTGATGCATTGATTCATAGGTACATGTAGTATTAGCTGGGGATAATGAGAAAGCATATTGGGACATGAATAATTGTACACAAGGTTATAAATGTCAAGCTAACCTGGGCAGGTGGGATATTTGCAATAGCTCTCTCATATAAATCTCTCACGGCTTCAGTTTCTTCCTCACTTTCCATTAGACGGAGATAGTCAAACCAGGCRTCATAATTACTTGGATTTACCTTGACTTCCTGGAAACAAAATAAWTCACTTGTTAGTTATAAGAGAAAATACCTAATATCCAGTCTAGACAGCTTGTTACCTCTTCATATTGAAATTTCCTTTTACTGACAATAACATTCTCAATTCCCCCTTTGTCRCCGTACTTCTTTTCATGTTGAGTATAACTTTTGTATAAATCCTGTGGAAAGAYGAACTTTGTTTCAGCTGCCCTTGGTTTTACCAGCACAATTTAAATACAATAGGTAAKAGCAGGCCTTGCACATGGTGTTGGTGTACATGAACGGGTAAAAATAATTAATCATGATTCTCATTAATATTTTGTAATCAACAGTTGTTGCAGAAAATATTGTTAGTATGAGCAAGAACACTTTTAATATAACCTTTAAAGCAATCAAAACTAAATGACTTATTTCTTGGACATTTTGCATACCTGACAGTTTTCTTTAGGGAGATGGTCTAATGCATACTTGTAAATCACCCTGACTCTATCATGCTAGTGTGAAAACATCATAATTACAACATRATAGCATTGATAAATGATTGAGAAGAGGACAAGGCAGAAATCACTGATAAACACAGCTTTATGTCATTCTTTATTCACCTCTTTACAGCTTTCTTCAAACTTKCCAAATGCAAGGAAAAGTTTCTCTTCCATGTGATCCTCACCAAAAAAATCAACAGCCCTTTCAAACACTTGTCGTGATTTGACTATAAAGTAAAAATAAAGGCAGTGAATACTGACAGTCTAGTTGTCTTTTAAGTGGAGAAATAGTCTCGTTCACGGTTACCTGTGCCATCTTGAAAGGAAGCTGACCCTTTGCATTGAAGCGAGACGACCGTTGAGCGTGTGATGACAGAAACGTTCTTTCACACCTACAGGCAATTATTCACAGGTATCTATCATTACACGCTCAAGGGTTGTCTCGCTTCAATGTAAAGGCACGGCTACCTTTCAAGATGGCGCACCTAAGCATGAACAAGACTATTAACTTTCCACATCCAAAACATTATTACAATAAGACAAAAACTCAATACAAGTACCCACCAATATCCCCTTGCCGTTCTTCAAACTTTGCAAATTTTATCCAGTTTTTGACCTCTGGATGAACAAGTACAAATCTCTCATAGATTGAGCGTGCTCTTTCAACTTCTTTATATCGTAATTCTAGGTTGATGTAAGAATGCCACGCCTGTTCTTCTGGCTCCCATTCCATCCAACGTTCAAAGACCTGACGAGCACCTGTAATGTTTCCTAGCATCTCTTCCATGTAAGTGTATTTATACCTGGATGATAACAATAGCAACAAAAATTAAAGATATGAGAATCCTTAATTTTAACTAATCAATGAAATAAAAGTAAAAATACCAATTGTTCATTACCAGAATTGATTTACTCTTGGTAATATGGACACTGCTCTGTCCCATATGTTTCTTGCATGGTTAATTTGACGATGTCTTTAAAAAAAAAACAAAGCAAATAATAATATGTTAATTGAAATGAATAATAAGATTTAATATTATATTATTATTAAATCAATCTCATTGATTTTGAACATGTCCCCACTGACTAGCTATTGCGGAAAATAGCGGAACAAAACTGATACTGATACTGATTAAATAACTGTTCCCTCCGAAGAGGATATCTTGTGTTTACATACCTCATCTCCATTTCAGCATACTTCAGCCAGATTGTCAGGTTTCGATGATCAACATCCAAACCTCTCTCATAAACAGATCTCGCCCTACAATAATAAAACATATGTTTATCAAATACTAGTTTACATAAAATGAATGAATGATCAATATGGATGAAATGGACAAATATATAAATGAATGGTTTACACAGTAAATCAATTTTCACATGAAGGATGTAAAAGTGTGAAAGTAAGGAGTTCATTACAAAGAAGGAATATCCTATATACATATCAATACTGCTATACAAAAGAAAATCACACAGATCATACAATGTTTGGCATGTATATACACATCTATGGTGTTATATTAACCTCTGAATTTCCCTCTGACTTTCTTCCCATTGTGCATATTTTAGCCAATTAGATATTGAACTTCTATTCTTACGAATGTTATCTTCAAATTCCTGAGGATAATAACATTACAAAAAGATTACCTTAACTATCTCCACGGTAATAATATCTATCATAATGTCAACATGCATACCTTTCTTTTCCTGAGCTTGTACTCTGCAAGTTCATCTGGATCTGAAATCTTTTGCTTTGGTGGCTAGAAAGAAATATTTTAAAACTAAATTAATTATGTTTTTGACTTTGACGAGAGGTAAAAAGTCTTCAGTACGTAATACATCGATCCAGCTAAGAATGTCAATCATGTACATGTACATATTTTAACCCGACCATGATAGGGTCGCAAACTACCAAGACCAGAGTGCTTTGCCCATTTTTGTTTGTTATGTAATTATAAGTGCCCATTGTTTTATTTTAATTTGTCTTTGATAAAAGTACTTACTGGGGGTACTATCTCCAGTTGTCTTTCTTTGGCTTCTCTTAGCAACTGTTCTGCTGTGATTTGAACTGGAGCAGGAGCTTTGTTCTTTACCTACAGCAAATTATAAATATCAATAGTTAATTTTGACTCCCTCTCTGTACATGGCTATTGTTTATTATTGGGTTTTTAAAATGAGAAATGCTGATTCAGTCCAACTGTCCATCATTTCAAATGTGTTTGTTATATGGCCAGCAAAAATGGATCAAACATTACAGATCAAGCAACAAATCAGAACAAAATGCTGGATGATCTTTGATAGCATACATGATATCCAACATTCTATCAAGCAAAATTTCAACAACATCAAATGCTGGATGGTGATCCAACATTCTTGGCCATAGAAATAGTTGTAGCAGTAATTAATAAATGTAAGTTATATTTTTTATTTATTTTCGTGTAATAAGCTTATATCAAACATAAAATCTATTCAGCCTGACGTCTAAAGATCTAATCTAGATAATGTTTCTCTACAAAAAATAAGGTGCCTGACTGACGTTTCAAAACGTCCAGAAAGGAATGACACACGTGCAACAGACGTTCCAGGCACAAACACTACAACAGAAAAACATCTCTGAAATATACAAACCTTAGCTACTTTCGGAACTCTTTTGTTGTTTCCTGCTTCTGAAGAGGCCATTTTCTTTTATATGTTTGCAGTTTTAGTTGAAAACAACAAAACTTTCGAGGTACAAATCAATTTTTTTATCTATTGCAGCAAAGCAGCAAAGAGTCATGGGAAATACAATTGCGCTCGATAATATTCCGTATCTAATCGATATTTCTCCGTGACGTATTTCTTCGTGAGGTCCCCAGAAGATCAACATGGCTGTTGTGTGTTTTGGTGTTGCAAAGTCTTCTTTACGCTCTTTATTTGGAAGGACTTTTGCTTCACATTTGAAAACTTCATGTGCTTTACTTCGCAAACAGCACACTCAGCCTTTGCCAGAAGGACCGCCGTCAGAACAACGAAACGTGAGTATTTTCAGCTGAAAACTTTGGAATAAACAATGAACTTACGTGAAAACTGACCACCAATGAGGTCCTTGATTTGCATGTAACTTTACTCTTAATCAAAGTTGCACAAACTCTTTAAATTATTGCTGAATTATGTGTATTATGTGTATTATCAGTATTTATATCTTGCAGTTAATTTTGAAACTTTTTCGTGTTATCGGTACAGTACTGCCCAGATTTAGTTCACGCTTGACTTACACCATGACACAGCACTAGACCTATTTACTTTCGCAAAGTCCGTTTTCCGYTCGTTCCGTATCGCCCGTCGCCTCTCGCCAGCGCACTTCGCGCTCAATATTCACCCATTCCTGGGAGTAAGAGAGAGTCCGACTTAGGCAAGTCTATAACAGCACTAAAACGCTATCTCTATTGATATCTTAGAATGCATACACAATGAGCTGCACACCTTCTACATGTTTTTGATAATTTCGTGCATTTAATCAATATTAAGTGAAAAAAATGTTTTAAGCTTATTACCATTCAAAGTTTCAATGCATTTTATGCCTCGCATTCACTACACCCGGGAAATTTATAAGTAATAAATGAGAGGTCACATGCAATAATGAATCCATTATAAGTCAAGAAATATAAACAGTAGAGTACTAGCGCGATATAATTAATTAAATTTTASCTTCAACACTTGGGTGCATAATCTCTATGATGCTCAGGTATTAAAATGTTAATGATTATTATATCCAAATGGTAACTTATTATATTTTTTTAAACTTACTATCTTGCATTTAAAATCTGCTGTTAGATCACATGCAAAATTCATTAGTTTTTAGATAAATATCAGTTTGGTGTTAATTTATTTATTTCCTCCTGACRCYGTTTTTGTCMATTTTTCTATAGCMATCKCAGTCTTCAAAAGCCAAATATTTCAAAGATGGAGAAGTAAAGGATTTTTCTGAATTCCTGACTGATTCATTTGGTAGACAGCATAGTTATCTGAGAATATCCCTCACAGAAAGATGCAACCTTAGGTGTAAGTTTTCCTATGAACCAGCTAGACATGCATGGAAAAATTAATACAATAGTTGGCCTTTTATGTTATATCTTCAATAATCATTTGTCTTAATTTGTTCTTAAGGTCAGTATTGTATGCCAGAAGAGGGTATACAACTCAGTCCAAAAGATGAACTATTGTCAACGGAAGAGATAGTCACCATAGCAAGATTATTTGTGAAAGAAGGAGTAACAAAAATAAGACTTACTGGTGGAGAACCATTAGTTAAAAAAGATATTATTGAGCTGTGTGGTATGTTTAATARATAATAATATTCTTAAATTTTTAGTGATTGACTTTTGTTATTCTGTTGCTAAGAGCAACCTGCCCCTTTTGGCTGACAGTGCTTTGCACATTTRTGTGAAAGGTGTAAACAACTCCAGTACCCGTATAGATACTTAGGAGATAGAGCGGATTTCGTATGACTGTGCAAAAGACACGGTACTTTTGCACTGTGACCGTACCGTGCCATAGTGGTGATGTATTGTTAAATCTTTATTTTCGTTTGGAAACATAGAAGGCAAGGTTTCATGACCGTGCCGTGCCGTGTCCGTGTTGTGATCTGTGCTGTTGCACAGTCATACGAAACCCGCTCTAGAAATAAAAGACAATTTGTTTACAATAGTTTTCTTTGCCATGTCATCTTGACATGTAAACACCTGTATTCAAAGCAGGATGGTAGGTGCCGGGCTTGTAGTGATATATACCATAAATAACATTGTTTGTAGGTGTACAAAACAATTATAACAATGAACGCTCACTKGTCATGCAGCTTTGATGCAGTCAGCACAGCTAGTTTTCATGAAGGTTAGGGAACTCTGAAGGAGACTGCCTGCATCCTACAGCCTCATCGTATGCAATACAACAGATTTTTTCATGGATGAATACATTGAGTTCAGAAAGTTCATGATCRTAGTTCTAAAATTTTGGCATTTGTTTTCATTTTTACAGAGGAACTTGGTAGTATYGAAGGATTAGAGACCTTAGCAATGACAACCAATGGCATAACACTGAAAAGAAAACTCCCTGCATTACAAAAAGCTGGCGTTAATCTTATTAACATCAGTCTGGATACACTTATACCACAGAAATTTGAATTCATTACAAGACGAAAAGGTGAGTCAYGAACAGCTTTTGCACAGTCAGCCSCATGTTACATAAATCGTCAATATCACAGAAATACCTGGAAATTTGATAAAGTGGGCAAAGTTGTCCATTACAAGCTGACTGTCAAGTGGAACATGCAAAAGGCCTCCATCTTCAAAGGATTTTCTTTAATTTACAATTATGGACCTTTTTGAACCAATAACTCTTTCCTTTAGGTTGGCATAAAGTAATGGAATCAATAGATTATGCATTGGAATTAGGATATAACCCTTTAAAAGTAAGCAAATTTTTTCACTTGTTTATAGAGGTCAGACAATCTCTGTTATAACTGTTTCAGTTTTTCTGTTGCTTAAATTATTGGTTGTTGATATTAGTATTTTAATTTTTGCTTATTTAGATAAACTGTGTTGTTATGAAAGGTCTTAATGAAGATGAAGTGTGTGAATTTGTTGCTCTTACAGAAAATAAGGTATTGTTCAATATGTCAAGTTCATATCTTAACACATTAGATTTTTGCATGAATTTTGAAAAGTCAGGTAATAATGTTTTTTTTTTTAATTTTGTTTAATCAGAGTGTGCAAATTATGAGAGGGGATATTTAAATCTGACAGTCAAATTAATTCAATTATCTTTCAGGCTGTAGATGTGAGGTTTATTGAATACATGCCATTTGATGGTAAGAACAGTGCTGGGTTCTTTATTATATATTTACCTTCCCTGGTGCAAATCTTAGACAGGATCCTGCAGTAAGATCCTGTATCTTGAGTAGGATCTTACTTACACAGGATCCTGTAGGATAATAGGATCCTATTCCTATGCAGGATCCTGCTCAGGATGCTAGTTAGGATCCTGTTCCTACATAGGATCCTATTTACTAGGATCCCTACATAGGATCCTATTTACTAGGATCCCATTTCCTAATTAAGATTCTGCAGGATCCTACAGGATATTACAGGATCCTGTCTAGGGTTGTGTTAACCCTTGCACAGCTGCACAAGTATTTGTTAAACAATTCTCTATCAAAATTATAGTTGTTGAACATAGATTCTCTCATACAGGAAACAAATGGAATTACAACAAATTCGTATCTTACCAAGACATGTTAAAGTCTATAAAAGAAAGATGGTCAAATATTGAACGGCTTCAAGATCATCCAAATGATACCTCAAAGGTAGGAAAGTAYAGTGTTTGTATCCATGTTCTGTATTACYAATCTCACCTTTCSGGAACTTTTTACAGGCATATAGAGTATCTGGTTTTAAAGGTCAGGTTGGTTTTATTACATCAATGAGTGAACATTTCTGTGGAAGTTGTAACCGCCTTAGAATCACTGCAGATGGAAATCTGAAGGTTGGTGAATTCATACAATGTTGGAGGTGTATTCATTTAGAGCTCTGGATATCATAGTGTACCTAGTGTGATAGTGTACCTAGTGTGATAGTGTACCTAGTGTGATATAGTATCATAGTCTACCTAGTGTGATAGTATACCTAGTGTGATAGTGTACCTAGTGTGATATAGTATCATAGTCTACCTAGTGTGATAGTGTACCTAGTGCAGTACAGTATCATAGTGTACCTAGTGTGATAGTGTACCTAGTGCGGTACAGTATCATAGTCTACCTTTAGTGTGATAGTGTACCTAGTGTGATAGTGTACATA